CCCCAAAACCCCAAAACCCCAAAACCCCAAAACCCCGAAAGTTCCTTTAATAATTGATTACTGATAATTGTTCAGTTGCCGACGATAATTCTTTATCCTTGTTTTTGACTTCTTAGTGGGAGGTAACTTACCCATGATGCTCTGGGGTTTTCTCTTCTTGAATTTGGACAGAAGATTTGACTGAATGTCCTCAGGAGCTATAAGATATTAATATAAACTTTACCTATATTGTAAATTGACTGATTAGAATGGGAATTAGGGTTTTTTGTCCTTATAGCAGTCATATTCCTCTTTATATTACTCTTTTCAAGATTTATCTGTGAATCCATATCTTCATAGTTCATAAGGCTACTATTTATAGTATCAAATTGTCTGAAATCAATTCCTCTCGTATCCTTTATTAGTTTATCTCTTCTCCCAAGGTGATTCTTGGTTTTCTTCTTACCACTTAATGGCTCGAGCTGATAGCTGCTATTCTTATGATATCCGCTCCTATTCAAATTGTGATTTATCTCTGCAGCATCGATGACTCATCTCACTGGCTCAGCATCACAATGCCTTTCAGCGAACTTGGGAGAGGAACTTCACTTGTACCCTCTTGCATAGCTCTGATCGTCATCAGCATCTTCCAAAATTTTGTCACTCGTATGGCCATACTTGAACTTACCCTTGTTATGGCCTATATTATGGTTAGAATAAGCGGTAGAGCTCATGCCGTCATTGATCTGCATGAACTTGTTCTTGATCTTTTTCTTTTCCATCCTCTCGATTCTTTTCTTTAGAATAGAGTTTTCCTTATTAAATTCATATATGAGAGCAATCATCTTGTCCTGGTTTAGCATGCCAAGCTTATCCTTCTTGTTCTTACTCATATCGGCTGTGAACTCATCCTTTACTGAGGAGTAGTTCATCTGGATGTAGTAGGAATCCGTACCGGTCAGAGCTTCCATGATACTAAGCCGGTCTCTAATATCTTCATTTTCCAGCTGGAACTGGGATAATTTCTTCTGAAGATCATCTATTTGAAGTGTATGATCCATGTAGTCCTTGTTGAGCTCTAAATTCCGTTTCAATACATTCTTGACCATTTTAGCACTAAGGAGGATTCTCTCGAATAAGCCCAGTTTGTTCTGAGCAGACATTATTTCTTTAAGGGACATAAGATCTTCAGTCATTTTGTCCATCATCGTTTCATTTTTCTCAAACATTTTCTTGAAATCCGGAAGCTTAGGTTGTTTCTCACTGTTAAACCGGGAGAGTGCTAGTTCTGGGTTATTCTTCCCATCTGCATTGTGTAGTCTACTTGCTGGTGTAACTGCAGAGGAATTAATGTTTTCTTGTAGCTCAGATGTCATATTAGGCAGAGAATCAATGCTCTCTTCCTCTGTTTCTGACAAACTATTTGCCACACTTACTGCAGACGTTGTTGCTCTTACCCATTAAATTATGAGCCATCATCAGCTGGCTCCTAAGCGACTGGACTTCCTTCTTCAGCCCCGAGATGACCTTATTCTTCGGATCATGATTCTTAATAGGCTTATTTGAAATTCAAGAGGCCTTTGAAGCATACGTAAGAGTACTGATATTCTCGTTAAAGAATTTACTACTAGGCGAGATACAGGCGATCATTAGGCAGAAACTGTTCCCTCCAAGACTATGTTTTAACAAACTTGTCAGCTTAGATTCCCGATATGGGATATATTTCCCCTTTCCTCCATCAGACCTATTCAGCATTGAAACTACTTGTCGAAGGGTAAATAAAGATTTGTTAATATCAATAGCTTCTTTCTTCAATTTAGTGCTCTTATACTCACCCAGATCAAGGTTAAGAGTCTGGCTTGAGCGCTCAGACCCAGCAAGGTCAACCAATTGCATTGTACTTACTATTATATTATCAGGATTTTCTCTTTCAATAGATTCGACTGTAATCGACAGAATACAATGAGACCTTGAACTCGCTTCATTAAGTGCGTGAGAGGACATGATTTTGTTCTTGAGCCCATAATGGAAGTAGTTCATCAGCTCTTTGACATTCTTACATTCGAACTTATAAAGATTATCTACATTGAATCTGTCATTTCTCACATCAAAATGAAGTTTTAGTCCTTCAGGCTGCTGATTATTATTAGATTGCAAATAATCCTTTCTTGAATGGAGAGGATTGAGAAGATCATAGATTTTCTCCTGATAAATCTGGAGGTAAGAGCAGTAAATTCTATACTTCTTAAACTCCACTCTCTCAATTTTCTCATATAGCTCGCTAACAATTCTGGGGATAATTCCAACATTCTCATTCTGTCTAGTCATAGCTACTGGGGTTGATTCAAACTGAGAAAATCCATTAAGAGTTTCGCTCATTTTATACTTATACCCTTCCATTGTAAAGGTTTTTCCTGACCCAGTCTGGCCAAAGGCGAATATAGTCGCATTGTAGCCTTCAACGACATGATCGACATACTTGTCAATTTCACATTCTTCATAAAGATCTTGCTGGGTAACTTCTTCGTCAAGTACCTTATCAAACCTGTGCGCTTTATTTCACTTTCGCGTTCGTCACAACTGTGCAGTCATCCTGTACATAAAGAATGTGACGGTCTTGAACCATTTGCTCTTCAAGGCCAATATTATTCGGAAGGTCTTGGTCAATGTAGGGTCTTAGCCTAATAGCAACCTTGACTTTCTCTTTATTCCTAAAGTTTTTCTTCATTTATTATATTTAAACCTTGTCAAATTTTATTCTCAAGGCTGGGGTTTTGGGGTTTTGGGGTTTTGGGGTTTTGGGGTTTTGGGG